TGAAACTCTTCAAACTTGACTTCCCGACGTCCAGTTTGCTTGGTTTTTCTTCTCCGAGCTTCATAAGGATGTTCTAAAGCTTCCTATAAGCTTTAAATCTCCTAAAACATCCATCATTACGACCACATGAACAGTGCATCAAAACTGAGATTCTAAGTTCCCGGGTTTTCGAGGGTTTCACTTACCAAAAATGGTATGGATAAGCTCTTGGACTTGCAAGGAACACAAAGATCACTTCCCCAGCTTCGATCCACGACTGGAAATGAAGGTTTGAAGGTTGTCCGTACAGGTTGTACGGAAATGATGAAAATTCGAGAAAGGGAGGAGAGAGAAAAGTGTGTGTGTGTAAGTGTGTGTGGTCTAGTTTTGGGTCACTAATCACAACTAAAATTACAACTTTAAGTTCCAAAAACTTAGGAACTAACCCATTTAGTTTAAACCCAAACTTAAGCCACAACAGCACATAAACATGCTCAATGTCCAAGGGCAATTTAGACATTTCACACCATCGATAACAATAATTCGGGATGGGCTGTGATAATTTTTTTAAACAACTATAATATTGTTTGATTTCAATTTGTAATTACTTTTTTTGTTGTTAAATTTAAGCTTAATTATGTTAGTAAATCTTTATACCGTTATGTCCAAATACGTATACAATATAGTATATGATACATATACAGTACTGTATATGTATAGTTTTTATAATGTTACTGAGCATTTTCAATATATGAAAAGTGCATTCTTCACAAAGGCAAAATAGAGAACATATATATATATATATATATTTTTTTTTTTTTGACAAAGGTAAACAATTCCATTACCAACAACCCAAATACACAACAAAGGTCCAAAGACAAATAGAGAACAGATTATACTTCTTACTTCATATGAAAAGAAGAGGTTAGTTTGATTGTCATTGCTTTTTTCATATGGTTTAACTTCTAAGTTACTTGGCTTACGTCTAATTTAATTGTTTGCTTGCCCAAGTTAAAGTCATTCGTTTTATTAATGCTGGTGAACAAAATCAACTTGAGTTAATGTTAAAACAATATCATAATTTCCATTAGTCTTGATTGTCTTAACCCTTTCTTTTCCGTTTTTACCAAAATTTCATGAAATTTTTGCACAAGCATTTTTTATAGAAATTAAGTTGATTTACTATTTTACTGTCTCTTGGTAGAATTTTCTTATTCATTGTTCAAAATTAGTATTGCAAATTTTAAGTGGTGGAACAGACCCAAATTAAACCTATAATAGCACCAAATTAAATTTATATTAAAGTGTTCTTTAGCTGCAAATGTGGGCGTGGCCATATTTCAAGATATGTTCCCACCCCATCCCTTTGTGCAAACAAATCTATATTAACACAAAACAAAATGTCGTTTGTATCAAAAGAAAAAAGATGAGATTTTTTAACATTTTTCAACTTTTCGAAGACAAAAACCAAGAACAAAATTGGTCTAGAACAAAGGATTTTACATTAGTATATCCATAATTGAAGGATTTAAGCCCTTTCCACACATTCATTTTTCTACAAAGACTTGGTTCATATGGCAGCTAAACAATATGTGAAGGTTGAATAGTTGACTTAGTTGACTTGCAAGCAGGCGAGAATATAATGTATTAAATTAGAATAGAACTACCCTAATAACCCTAAGTTTTATACAAGCATTTAAAGGGTTAAATTGGACTGCACCCTGCAGAAACTTTAAAGAAATAAAGTTTATCTAGAAAGAAAAGGACGTGTATACCTAACAGAGTCAAAATGGATGACTTGAAATCTAAACAAACATTATATTTGCTTTCTGTATTGCATTTACTTTCTTAAATTGAGAGTTGTTATAATCTAAATAAAGCTGACTTGAATGACCATTTTTTTTGAAGGTTGAGTCGGAAATTCGGAGTATATAATTTCAAAATGTGGTAAACATGGAGCTTCTTTTCTATTGATGGACCTTCTTTATTTGAAGATGGTTATACTTGCAATCTTGCAGACTAAATAAATAAATAAAAACAAGTCAAAATGGATGACCCATTATAACCTACGCCTCCCATTGGGAACAAAGACCAAGACCTTTCACAATCTAGTTCTGTCGCACAGTATGCTGGTAGGCAAATTTTAGTGTGGTGGTCATATAGTATGTTGTCAAGTCTTAAATATCAAGTTAGATTAAAAGTTAGCATATTACATTTTTCCTCCAAACCATATGATCAGCAGTTTTGGTTTCTGAAGCGATTTCAAGTCCTAAATTTTATTAAATACAATAAGAATTGTTACAAGGTTAAAGACACTAGAAATTCGATTTTTAAAATCGATTATAATCATAGTGGCACATTCAGTGGCGCAATTTACGTTAAATTGTAGTGAATTCATGACATGGATTGAGGAGGCTCCTTCATAACAAATGGTAATTTCGGAGGCTGAGCCAGAAATTCAAAGTATATAATTTCAGAAGGTGGTAAACAGGGAGCTTCTTTTCTGTTGATGGACCTTCTTTATTTGAAGTTGGTTACACTTGCAGACTAAATAAATAAATAAAAACAACTCAAAATGGACGGCCCATTGTAACCTACGCCTCCCATTGGGAACAAAGACCAAGACCTTTCACAATCTAGTTCTGTTACAGTAGGGCAAATTTTAATGTGGTGGTCAAATAGTATGTTGTCAAGTCTAAAATATCAAGTTAGATTAAAAGTCAGCATATTACATTTTCCTCCAAATCGTGTGATCAACAGTTTTGGTTTCTGAAGCGATTTCAGATCCTAAATTTTATTAAACACAATAAGAATTGTTAGAAGGTTAAAGACACCAGAAATCCAATTTTTAAAAGCAATTATAATCCTGGTGGCACATTCAGTGGCTCAATTTGCATTAAGTTGTAAATTCGTGGCTTGGATTGAGGAGGCTCCTTCATGACTAATGGCAATTTTGGAGGTTGAGTCGGAAATTCGGAGTATATAATTTCAGAAGGTGGTAAATAGGGAGTTTCTTTTTGGTTGATGGACCTTCTTTATTTGAAGATGGTTATACTAGACGGGTGTTTTTGAAGTCTTTGTATGCCATTGCTTTATTTTCCAATCAATCCATCCCAAATGTGTAATGCTTTATTAATGTGGAATGAAATTCATCGATGTTGATAAAATAAAAAGAGACCAGAAAGAACAAAAAATTGCTATAAAACAATATATATGTTACATACTGGCGATCCGCACAAGTGGAGCTACTTATATGTATGTGCTTTAGCTTCATGTTCCATTCAAAGGAATTGGGAGTGTAAAATGCCTGAATTATTTTCTGTTCCCTTGGCATTCGAACTAGTTGAGAATTACGTAACCCACATATCCAATTTTTCAAAGAGATTCTAATCATGATGTTTGAAAGAGCCCAGGATATGCTTGGGAAGGACAAAAATAAAATCATGAAAGTCTACCTAAGTAAGGGACTACTCATCATCAGAAGCCCAGATCACTGAGATTCAAGATAAAGATTACTATAGTGAAGATGCTCTGGACAAGTTCATAGCTTTAGAAATTTATTCAAGCCATGTGATGTTATTTGTAGTAATTTGTAGTAATTTCAAATAACGTAATTTCTCTAGCACCTCCTTTTATCCCTCCCGCTGTAACATTTTTTTGTTGGATTTTTTCATAATGTGTTACCAATTCAATTCTCAACAAACAATAAGAAAGTATATGTGAGGATGTGAAGGTAAAAGAGTTTCACATCAGTGAAAAAAGAAACTTTGCAAGAGCTTATAAGAGGTTAGACTATTCCTCATATTACCAATTAGTTTTATAGTGGAACCTCAACTTTCTTCATGGTATTAGAGCAAGTTGGCCCACGTATGATGCCCAATAGCCACACGTGTTATACGTCACTCAATTCGTGTTGTCCACGTGTTTGCCACACATTAGGAGGAGTGTAAGAATGTGAAGGTAAAACTATCACACTTGAAAGAAAACCCTTGGAAAGGCTTTATAAAGATATACCTTGAGTCTATCTATGAATTTTGCGTGGGCAGACCTCCAATCTGAACTGGCCCTCTCAGACCCAAATTTTGCATGGCTGTAGCCTATATAGCAAACATTTTTATTTCTCATCAACTTATTCTGAATGGCTAGTTTCTATTCTATGGAATTTTTAGGTAGAAAGATTCATGGATGCATGACTAGTTTCTCTTCTTTGGAATCCTTGATTGACGTAGGCCAAATTTCTCAAGGGACCCCACTTGAGAAAATGCCATGGTCCTCGTGCTTGAAACTGTAGAATTTGTCATACAAACTTAAAGAGTTAGACGGAAGAAAGCGAAACCTTAAAACCATAAGCCAAGAAACAAAGAAAAATTAAGGATGAATGTTCAAAATGGGTGGCCTGTTGTAGCCACCCTCCCATCCGCATGCAGTTGGATTGGAAAAACCAAGACCTTTCGTTATCTAGTTGCTTGATACATGCATTTACCAAGACTTTTCGTTATCTAGTTGCTCGATAAATGCATTTACCAAGACCTTTCGTTATGTTCCAAAATTGATTGTATTGCTTTGTATATTTTATCTCATTTCTAAGACAAAGTTAGGGGCGAAGTCATGTGAGGACAAACATGGTCGCAAAACCCTTATTCTCCATTACTCCTCAGTTCCCCCATCTTTCCTCCTCTTCTAGCGTAAAACCTTGCTCACCAATGAATAGAGTTACACAGTTGTTTTATACAAAAAATTTAATTTTTACTACGGAGGCACGCAATGTAGCTATTTATATTTTAGGCTTAATAATTCCAGGGAAAATGGCTGAATTTTCCGTTCCACCTAGCATTGATGCTAGTTGAGAATTTCAAGATTCACAAACCTAAACTTAAACCTTTCAAGCAATGTCAGGGATGATGTTGTTGAAAGAGCCCTCAGAATTTGAGCAGGATGATGCAAGCCTATCTGACGGACTGCTTATCGAAACAAATCGATGAAAGCTCCCAATTAAGTGATTCAAAATCGTGCAAAAGATATCCGAACTATAACATGTGTATATTCATTAATCAGTGGTTACTCAACTCTTATTTATGGCCGTGCGGTGAGCCACAGCTCAATTTCATTCACTAGACATCAAGTTTGCCCCTTACAATAACAAAATGCATAGACGAAAACATAGCCAACAATATAAAGTTTATAAAATAAATGCAAAAGGCCATAGCATTTCTGTACTGGTGAATTCCTGCCTTCTTCACTTCAGCAAAGTTCTAAGCCAACTTAACCGTCAGTTCGTCCTTCACCTGATCACCATTTCAGTTACTCTCCTTCCCCCCACAGTGGCCTAGAGATAGAGAAGAAAGAGATCAAAATATTAAAACCCTAGTCAAAACTATTGCAATTCATCAACCAAAAAACAAGCAGGCAATTGAATGCTTTATTTACCTTGTGTTTCTTTAGAGTCAACTCAATCAGGAAAGATTTTGAAATCCAGTGAAGGACTGGTTGCTCCCGAGATGGAAAGAGTGGATGACTCGAATATGCTCAACATGAGCACGGTCCTCACTGTCTTTCCCAAGCTTAGCGATGAACTCATCAGGCATGTCATATAGAAGCAGTTCGTCGAGATGCGTAAGATGCTCCATTCCAAGTGGAAGTAAGCTCAAATTTTGACATCTAGACATGATTAGCTTCTCAAGCTTAGGCATTGCCCCGTTCTCGACTACCATCTTATTTAGCTGATCAAACTGTTCAATATGTAATATCTTTAGCTTGTGGAACGTTTCAGCTTTGAATTTCAACTCTGCACCGGTGTGGTACTGAACCAAATCGAGCTCCATCAGCTCAGGCAAAGCTTGAAGGGCCTCAAGTGGTTTTTCATTAGCCTGAAGTTTTGACCACTTTAAACCAATCTTTACTACGCTGTGAAGTTTGGAAATCCACATTGGCAGCCTTTCTAGGCGCCCTTTCAAATATAGGCGTTGCAGAAAGTCAGGACGAAATTCACCATGATCCAAATCCAGAAAGTCCTCCTCGCTCGTTGATCGTACATCCAATGTCGAGAGCTGCTCCATTTCATGAAGAGAACAACAAACTTCCTTCCATCTTCTTTTTGAAGATCGGTCAACCCCAGTTTCCTAAGACCTTTCAACTCTCGTAAGGCTGTTATGATTTTTCTGTTATTTTTTACACTAATTAGTGACAACTTTTGTATGGAGGATAAAGATGAAATGTTGCCTGCAGAGAGCTCCACACTTCTTGCAGCTTCAAATGTCACATAATTCGTGACATCATAGCGATAGACTAAAAGGTGGTGCAAATTGCGGAGCTTATAAATCTGTTTTGGTAAATTGGTCACTTTTGTGTGCTTAAGGTCTAAGGTTTCCAAGAATCCAAGCTTCTTTATGGACTTTGGCACTTCTTTAATATCGGTGTGCCTTAGACTTATGTACCTCAAGAGGGTGAGACCAAAAACAGAATCGGGAAAGTTGTCCAAATTTATCCCTTGCAAATCTAAAACCCTTAAAAATTTAAAGGTTTTAAGTAGTCTTTCAAGCTCGGAATCATAACTTCCCTGCCCACTTAATAGTATGGTACGAGTACAACTCAAATCTGTACCACTTGAAAAATTGTTGCCCTTACTAACATCATGAACAGAAAGGTGTCGAATTTTCTCACCTGGAGCAGTACCTCTGCAGTTTGCTGCCAACGAGACAGTGATGAAATTCTCCGCTTTTTCAATGATGAACTCGCGAACGAGGTTCAGTACACGGCAGCTTCTGACTCTTCCATCGACTTCCCTTGAACTCACATGAACTAAATTTCTTCCAATGAGATCATTCAGATAGCCTCCTGCAACCTCCTCCATTAGTTTTCTTGATCTGTTCTGCATCACAAATCCTTCAGCTACCCACAAGCGAATTAGCCTTTCACGGCTAATGGAGTAGTCTTCAGGAAACATGCCAAAGTACAAGAAACAAGTCTTAAGATGGCTTGGAAGGTCCTTGTAACTGGGCTCCAATATTTGGGTAATAATGGGAACATTTGATCCAAGGCTGTCATGTAACTTCTTCCAATCAAGTGGAGTTGGTCGCTTCGTTGCTAGCAAAGTACCAACAGCTGAAATTGCAAGGGGCAAGCCTTCACACTTCTTGACGATTTTCTCTGCCCAGTCCAAAATCTGGGTTGGACACTTTCCTTCGCTCTTGTGAAAAGCCTTTCGGCAGAATAGATTCCAAGCTTGTTCCCATGACAACACATTGCTCATATTGTGGATGTACGAAGAGTTTGCATGAGAAGACGCTACTTCAGAGTAACGAGTAGTTATGACTATTTTACTCCCAGTCCCAGGTAAATCATTTGGTAAAACATTTACAATGCGTTCCAAATCTTGTTTGCTCCAAACATTATCTAACACGACCACAAACTTCTTGCCCTTCAAAGCTCTTACCAATTGCGCCTTTGGATCTTCATGATTAATGGATTCCTTCCTTTTGCCTTTTGGATCAAATTTGCTTAACATGTTGGGCAAGAGCTCATCAAGTTTACGGGGACACAAGTCACGCGGCACATCAATCCAAGCATGGCATTCAAAAAACCGTTGGACCTTTTTGCTCTGGAAGACATTCTTCAAAAGAGTGGTTTTGCCTGAGCCACCAGGACCTACAAGCGAGATATTCGGAAACCTTGGATCTCCTTTCATCAACTGACTGATGAGTTTTTCTTTAGGCTTCTCAAACCCTACCATTTCTTCTTCTTCAAGGAATTGGTTATGATGAGTCACCGTGCTATCTCCATGTCTTGTGGTGCTGGAACTTGGGCGACTTTCTTGATCTCGTCCCGGAAATTGTGGAATTTTATCAAGAGTGAAAACAAAATTTAGCTTCTTGTCAATATTTTTAATTCTGTCCGAGAACTCACGGCTTGCTTTCTGTACCGTGCGAAATTTCACAGCATCGTGTAGCTTCTGAAAGACGTCGTTGTTGTGGAATTGATGAGGGACATGAAGCAGAAATTCGTCAAGAACGTCTTCAATTTCATAAGCTATATTTCGGATCTCTTTTACACGAGTTTGAAACTGTTGAGACCCTCCATCGTAAGCAGACAGTTCTGCTGATGAGTTGTCACTGAGATATGCTCGCATCCTCTCTAAACAGCTTCTGGCTCTTCCAGCATCATCGCGGGGATTATTATTATTAAAGCTCGATCGGCTGAATTTTTTGTCGAGGAACATTATCACTTTGTCCGCCAGAAACAACGCTACTGGTACGGCAATTTCAGCCATTTGTACAAGAAAGGGCAGCTTTCCAAGTTGCAGAAAATTGCTTCTGTCCGATCACAAAAAGAAAGAAGAAAGAAAGTTGCTTCTCGGTAACTCAGTTGGTGCAAGTATTGAACGAGCTGGCTAGAAAAAGACTCAGCTAATTGCAATGAGAGGTTGACGAAGGGATTGAACAATGAATGGGTCTGAAATAGCTATTTTTCTTGAGGATAATGAGAGTGCATGGTGGTGAGCACCTACTTATAGAAGCTGAGAAGCTGAGAAGCTGTATAATTAAAAAGAAAAGTCTAAGGTCTGGTATTTCCTCGTAGCTACAATTTCTTGACAACCGTATATTTTATTTTCTGCCATTGCTGTTACTAGAATCACTAATTTTCTATATGATAGTTGCCTTGGTTTATCTCGAATTCATGCCACCACACAAAAGAATACTTTTTGCAAGTTGAATTGATTAATTTGCAGAGCAACTCCCAAGATAGGACCACCACACCAGTACACCGATCAATTTCCCAGGAAAACGAATAAATAATTCCAGTTGCCATAAACTATAAGATATGACCGTGTCCTCCTCCTCTGGAAGGGCAAAGTCTTCTCTGGAAGGGAAAACACTTGCAATCAGATTAATTCATTAGAAATTCAAATGGACAAATTTGCAAACAGGTTCACACTTGACTAATAGATCGGACAAATTTGCCAAAACCCGTAGAAATTCAAAAATCAGGAACCACAAACATATACATGTAATCAAAGGCTAGTGAAAAATAAATACGTATTTAATTTTATTAATACAAAATTGTTAATATTAAATTCAAAATTTTAAATAAAATTTTATGAAATATAGAAAAACCTTGCAAAAAAAAAAAAAAAAAAAAAAATCAGAAAACCCTTGAAGGTGTTATAGATATTACTAGCAAAAAATGTTTGTGTGATGCTACGGGATTGAAAACAGTACATATGGTACCACTTACATGCTTGATGTGCAAGTACATAATATATACATAGACCACATTATTTTATGATAGCTAATTGATCATTCGTATATTTCACTCTATTTACAAAAGCGGCCACCGGCATTGTTGCTTGAACTCCTCCATTCGTTCTTGGGCATACATAATGCCTCAGTTTATGAGTCTAAATGAAATCTAAAAATAGACAATAAGGTGTAACTGTAGACATCGAAATTTCGGTAAATAAATGTTGACCAATAAATCAAAGTTTCAACGCTCATGTATTACATAAATTTTACACGTAGCGTGTGTCTACACAAAAAATCAAAATAAGTTGGAAAAGTCATCAAACAGGACACGTGTCAACACCTGGCAGAAACGACTTATTTCATCTGGAATATTATATTCAAAATTAGGCATTGGAAAATTCTATAATTAGAAGCCAATTTCATTCATTTAAGGGGGGGAACCAATTCATATTACACCTTGAAGCTCTGAAGCTCTGAAACTCCGAAGCTCTTAAACATCCAGGTTCCCGAAGAATCAGGAAAAGCTTTCTTCGTTCTTCGTTCATCGTTCTTCCAAGATCAATCCCCAACGGCCCTTTGGATCAACAATCATCCACCAATTCAAGATCAAGCCCCGACGGCCCTTGAAGAAAGTGTTCATCGTTCATCCTAAGATCAAGCCCAAACGGCCCTTTGGATCAACAAACATCCACCAATTCAAGATCAAGCCCTGACGGCCCTTGAAGAAAGTGTTCTTCGTTCTTCGTTCATCGTTCTTCCAAGATCAAGCCCAAACGGCCCTTTGGATCAACAAACATCCACCAATTCAAGATCAAGCCCCGACGGCCCTTGAAGAAAGCCTTCTTCGTTCTTCGTTCATCGTTCTTCCAAGATCAAGCCCCAACGACCCTTTGGATCAACAATCATCCACCAAGTCAAGATCAAGCCCCGACGGCCCTTGAAGAAAGCACCATCGTTCATCATCCGTTCATCCTAAAGACCAAGCCCCAACAGCCCTTTGGATCAACAACGTCGACAAATCCACACATCCAACCGTTCTTCAAGATTAAGCCCAAAAGCCCTTGAAGATCCGTTCATCAATGTTCTTCAAGATCAAGACCAAAAGCCCTTGAAGATCCATTCATCACCGTTATTCAAGATCAAGCCTTAACGGCCCTTGAATAAACACTCATCCTCAAGATCAAGCCTAACGGCTCCTTGAAGATCCGCTCAAATCCACCTTCAAAGATCAAGCCCACGACCCCTTGAAGAAACTTCCAACAGTTCATCCAAGATCAAGCCTCAATGGCCATTGGATCAACGAAACATCCACAAATCAACACTTTACAGAGATCGAATCAGAGGATCAAAATAGAGAGAGATTGTAACCCAAAATCATCAAATACAAATATTTGTTTGTGCACGTTGTTCTTGTCTCTTTCGTTTCAGGAAATTTTCGTGTTCACAAATTGGCACGCCTAGTGGGACCATCTCAACCTTTCATCTCTTTCTCCGTTCAAGGAATCCAAACACATTTCAAAATCAATGGCATCAAGCAAGGGACAAGCCGTTCTCGCAACCACTGAGGGAAGGATCCTAAGCACTTCTGCCGCAAATGGACAATCCATTGGCTCCACAATCGCTCCTCAACATGCCACTTCAAAGTTTGTGCCGCTAAAGGAGCAAGGGGAGCATCAAAGGCGCGAGTCCGTCATCAACCTGACCTCGCTGGGGGTACCGAAGCATGATGCTGAGGCACACAAGATGACATCCCAAAGCAGCCAACGACGTTCTTCATCAGCATCCTGGATGTCTAAAGGAAAGTCACGTCTATTGGTCGCACAAGTCATGACTATCGGCGTTACCTCCATCTAATAACAACTGGCTCAAATGAATGAAGCGATTGCAAGGCTAACATAGATTGTGGAAGAAAAAGACTTGCAAATCGCTGCACTCGTCAGCCGACTGAAGCCACAGGACGGCGTGAACCCTAATCCAGAAGATGAGCCTACGGTGGAGAGAATCGATGTGAAGCCGGAGCCAGACCAAGTAGCGGCACTCATAGGATCTATTTCTATTCAGCAGCTGCAAGAGATGATCACCAACACCATCAAGGCATAGTACGAAGGGAGCTCAAATACCTCCGGGTTGTACTCGAAGCCGTATTCAAAGAAGATCGACGCCTTAAGGATGCCAAGAGGTTATCAACCACCAAAGTTCATGCAGTTTGATGGAAAAGGAAACCCGAAACAGCACGTTGCCCACTTTGTTGAAACTTGCAACAACGCAGGGACCGAAGGGGACTACCTTGCCAAGCAGTTTGTGCGCTCGCTGAAAGGAAACGCCTTTGAGTGGTACACGGACCTAGAGCCTGAGTCCATCAACAGCTGGGAGCAATTAGAGCGGGAATTCCTCAACCGCTTCTACAGCACCCGCCGCATTGTGAGCATGCTAGAGCTAACGAGCATAAAGCAGTGGAAGGACGAGCCAGTCATTGACTACATCAACAGATGGCGCACTCTGAGCCTCGACTGTAAAGACAGGCTCTCGGAAACCTCTTCAATCGAGATGTGCATCCAAGGCATGCAATGAGGTTTGCAATACATCCTTCAAGGCATCAAACCACGGACCTTCGAAGAGCTAGCCACCCGCGCCCATGACATGGAGTTAAGCATCGCCCATCATGGGAAGAAAGAACCGATCGTCGACTACAAGAGCGACAAAGTTCTTGGGACAAAGGTGGAAAAGGCTGCGTGGAAACCCACCAAGGAAGCGATGACGGTCAACACATCTCCAGTTAAAATCTCCACACGAGGCAAGGCAATTCAAACTGAAGCTTTTCGTGATCAAGAAATGCGTAGACGCACTTTGAAGGAGCTTGAGGAGAAGACTTATCCATTCTCTGACTCTGATGTGGTTGCCATGCTAGATGACCTGTTGGACAAAAAGGTGATCGATTTGCCTGAGTGCAGACGGCCGGAAGAGATAAATCGTACCGACAGTCCAAGATACTGTAAATTCCACCGTTTCATCAGTCATCCAACTGAAAAGTGCTTCGTACTGAAAGATCTCATCCTGAAGCTAGCACAACAAGGGAAAATCGAGCTTGACCTCGAAGACACGGTTGCGGCACACACTACTACTATCGTGTTTGGATCACTTGATCATGTGCCTCTCCGAAGCATGCATGACCATTCCCGTCAATGTTCAAGTCACAAGACACCTCCTACACAACCATCACCGGGGGAAAGCAACCAAGATGCATCTACTGGTGATAAGAAATGGTGGACATCGGCGACCTGCAAAAAAAAATGAGGAAGCCAAGACCACAAGCCACAAGGCCAAAAGAGGAGCCTAAACCCGCCCCTCGAACTTCAGTTTTCGAAAGGCTGGATTATTCAAAACCTAGAATTTCGGCACTTGATCGCATCAGTGGTCTAGACCAAACTTCCGTCTTCAAAAGGCTTGAGACGCCAACACCGCAAAGATCTGTCTTTGAAAGGTTATCAAAACCCAAGAAACAAAGCGGCACAGCTAGATCTCCTCCGCAACGGTCGGCTTTTGACAGACTTGAAGAAACTAAAAAGCCTTCTAGAAAATGGAAGACAACGCCAAAGGGAGAAAAGCTCGACAGTCTAGCAGGAAAAGATGATGTTCAAAGCTTGATTCCTTCAAGGATGAAGCGCCAAGCAACTTTGGAAGTCGACACAAAAGGACCACTGAAGGTAAGGAGGCGCACCATGATCTACACTGGCCAATCTTCACGGCAACAAACATAAGAGGACCGCACTGAAGAGGAGGCCCAAGAAGACAAAGAAGACGAAATCCTGGAAGAAGACGTCACTTCCGGCTCTGTCAACTCAAAATCTTCACCTCAATCGCTGGGGGCATGCTCCAAAACCATGCTAGTCAAGCCGAGTGAAGTTGAAGGATGGACTTATGTCACTCCGAAGAAATTGCACAAGAAGCATATGTCTTCTCCACAAGTTCACCAATGGGAAAGGGGGCAAAGCAGCTCTTGTTCACCTCCAGAACAATGTGAAAGTGTTGGAGATAATGAAACTTTGACACGAAGATCATCCATCCCCATCACGATGCGTGACACCTTCCCAGAAGACTTCTTCAACTACTCAGTCAAGGCTCCTTGCTATGAAGATTGCGAGGAACGACTCTCTCAGATCGCCTGATAAACCAACAAAAGCTCCTTGTCCGCACGAGCCTAAACTGTAGGACACGAGGCTCCTCGCCTGCACGAGCCTAAACTGCATGGCACTAAGCTCTTGGTCTGCACGAGCATAAAAGGCAACACCAACGCTCCTTACCTGCACGAGCTGAAACTGCAACATGGCACAATGCTCCTGGTCTGCATGAGCATAAAAGGCAACACCAACGCTCCTTGCCTGCATAAACTGAAACTGCAAACAGCACAAAAAATAAAATACCAAAAAAAAAAAAATATATATATATGTATGTATTTGAACTACGTTTTGACTTGATGTCTTTCTTTGAAAAGGTACGTAGGCAGCTCGAGCATTCAATTTCGAGTTCAGTCACATCCAAAAAAAAAAAGTTTCATTGATGAAGGTCAATTTTATTACAAATTTATTTTGTTTAAAAAAAAATCTATGCAATTTTTCTTTGACAAAATTAAATTACTGTTTCTTCGAAAAAAAAATGAATACATATGTTATTATGTATTTACAAAAAAAAAAGATACAATTTCTTCAAAAGATCAAAAAAAAAAAAAAGAAAAGAAAAGTTTGTACAATATATATATATATATATATATATATGTATATATGTATACATATATATAATCTGCAATTGCTTCGGCCCAGCACGGTTCACACCATCAACAAGTCCACCAAACGTTGGGCCCATCTCCGGTGGCCCATCATCACTAGACTCCAAGCTGGTCCAAATCCTCTTCCAAAGCTTCCTCGTCTCAAGCTGTCCATCTCTCTCTTCCGACTTCTGTCATCACCATCAATACAAATCAAGAAACTCATTTTTCTGAAGCATAGGCACTTTTGGATCTGACCCATAAGAAGCTCCGCCGTCTCCCCCATGTCTTCAGCCGGTTCCTGGAGCTCCCCTTTCGGTCTGACAGGGAGAGAGACAGAAAGAGAAAATGCTTTGTAGGATGGTATTGGTGCCGATGAAGAAGAAGATTGGGAAGGTGCCCGTTTATCTGAACGTGTACGATCTTACTCCGATCAATGGCTACGCCTATTGGCTCGGCCTCGGAGTCTACCATTCCGGCGTCCAAGTACATGGCGTTGAATATGCCTTTGGAGCTTATGACCATGCAACGACTGGGATTTTCGAAGTGGAACCGAAGCAATGCCCCAACTTTGTGTTCAGAAAATCAATTTTGATCGGAAGAACGGATTTGGATCCGAAGGAGGTCCGTGCTTTTATGGAGAAACTAACAGAGGAATACTCCGGGAACCCGTACCATCTTATCACCAAGAACTGCAACCATGGCGCGGTACAACAAGGTTGCCCCGAAGCCTCTGCTGAAAGACTGATCGGATCATATTTATATATATTTTTACTTTAAATTCACTCGTCTTTTCTTGGTTAGTTCCTTATATTTTTGAGCTATTTACGTTATTTTTGTGTTTATAGGATTTGTTATGCAAAGAAAATAAAAATAGAACAAGTGAAATTTTATTCGTGAAAAGCAAATTTAAATTACAATATTGCTAACCCATTGTGACGCTAAATGATAAACCAATATTTAAACTATATATTTCATCATTTTATATTTCTTTTCTTGTCTAATTTATTTGGAAGCTTTAAGTATCTATGATACTTTTGATATATTGTGTTTGTAGGAGTAACATGATCCAAAGAACTTATTTTTCTGCTATGTGGGGCTGCTAGAAACTAAATGAAAATAAAAGGAGAGCACCGGGAGGAGAATATAGAGGAAAGCAAGCTGCCTTTGCAGCTGGAGGAAAGCAGGTCAGCGACAAAGGGATCCAAGAAAGGCAGAAGAGAGAAGGCAGCGAGGCTGCCAGAGAAAAAAGAAAAAAAATATAGAAAGGGAGGGAGAGATCAGTGCGCAGAAGGCGCGGGGAATAAAAAAAAGACAGCTGCCTTTGGCAGCTGGAGAGACTGCAACGGGAAAGCAGAAAATATAAGAGACGTGAGGAGGGCAGAGGCGCAGCAGGAACGAAGAGACGTGAGGAGAGGCTGACACGGCAGGAGTGAGAAAGGCAGAGAGAAGCAGCAAGGCTGCAGAGAAGAACAAAAACAAAGGCAGAAAATAAAGAGGAGAGACAGCTGCCTTGCGGCAGCAGAAAACGGAAAGCAGCGAGAAAGGCAGAGCAGAAGCACAGAGGCAGAGAGCAAGCTTCTCCTCTTTCGGTTTAATCTTTCCAAACTTATATTTTATTTCTATTTTAATAATGTGTAACTAAGTTTATTTTGGCTAGAGGTTAATTCAAAGCCATGAATATATTTGTAATATGAATTGATTACCTTCAGTTGTGATTTCTGAGTTGTGATTTAATTTGCTTAACTGCTTGATTGATAACTTATTTTTGTATGTCGATTAAGGATGCATACTTAATTTACATGCATGAATTTGATGCTAGAATATAAGTGAATTTCACCTAATCGTTATGAACTTATATTCACAAGTAGTGAAGGTTGTTATCCACAATCGTGTTAAGTGAATTCTTGGCAAGAGTATCATGCTTTTCATAGTAACGAATGCCTCGTCAACACTTATAGTTCTCATTGTGCTTCATGATTCTTGATTGTATCTTTATTGTGCTCATCACGTAAGGAACCTTTGAGGAATGCTTTGAATTGTTGTATGCGCTTTTCCATCCAATTCATTAACTTAAGGAGAACTTGAAGGTTAATTTAAGCGTATCTAATTAACTTGGGGTGTTGAGTTTCATAATTTATTGAAAGAACAACTGAAAATCAATTTAGGTTGCATATGTGTCATGTGTAGAGAAGAACCCTCTAGCTAGTCTATCACTTATCCTTTCACCTTAATTTCATGCTTTTGTCAATTCTGTAATTTATTTAAGTTCAATTTACTTCTCGTCAAAACCAAACCCCCTCCCATTATTAAATTATATTATTTAGTTAGTTTTCATTGTTGTTAGTCTTTTAATTCAAATTCTGTCCATTTCAGTTCCTAGTGTCTAATTTGATTGTTTTCATTATTTTGAGTCATTCTAAGTGTGTTTCGAGTTATTAGAGTTTTTAGCCTAGTTTTGTGTCCTTGAGTCTTATTTAATATTTTTAAATTAATTTAGAATAGATTAGCAATCCCTCCTAATCCCCGGCCTAGAACGATACCCTACTTATATCTATACTACAATTGTCAAAAGAGGGTTTAATTTGTGTGTCAAGTAATTCTCGCATCAAATTTTTGGCGCCGTTGCCGGGGATTAGCAACTTTGCTAATCCTTTTATTTTTGTTTTTGTTTATGTTTATATTGGTGTTTGTGTATTTTACTTTTGATATTTGATTTATTTTTCTTTCTTTGATTTTAGGTTCAAATGGAGCCGAGGGAAATTTAAAGGAAAGATGCGTCCGGCTAAAGACGTTAAATCAAGCGCTTCTTGGGAGGCAACCCAAGCATTCAACGAAGGGAGACTTTGGAATCACTAACCCAATCAGCTTTGCATTCTTCCACCCTTATCTTTACTGCTTTCATTTTGTTTTGTTTAGTTAGTTGTGTTATTTGGTTGATTTCTGTGAGTTTGTGTTATTTAGTTTAAGTGTGGGGGAAGGTTAACCAAAGTCTCTTTACATTAATTTACATAAAAAAAAAAAAAAAAGATAAAATTTAAAATTAATGAAAAAAAAAAAAAAAAAAAGTACAAATATTTTACAATGATGTAAACTAATAGTATTCATTGGTCGGGTGGTGCTTCAGCAGTCGGCGGGGCCACAGAAGGAGGAGGCGGCAGAGGTTGATCAGTTGGAGCTTCACTACGCGGTGCCACTCCAGAAGACGAAGGCAGATGTTGTTGGAACAAACCCACAAACCTCCGATGATCAAGTAAAATTTAACCATCGGTGTCCTGCATCTGGTCAATCTTCCTCTTCATGCTGGTGGCATAGCTGTGTGCGAGCTTGTGCAATTGTTTATTTTCATGCTTGAGTCCTTTAATCTCCTCTTTGAGACTCTGTATTTCAGCCAACCAACGATTCAACATGACGGGTTCGGGCAAATAGGCGTTGGGCCATGTTGGACACGGAACCGGCACACTGCACGCTAAGAGCCAGAGACTCCTTAACCGCCAATTCATTAGATCGTCTAGCGAGCAGTCTGTTATCTCTGGGGGTGACAAGGTTTCGGGCCACCACCGCAGCGGTCATGTCATTTTTCATCACCGAATCCCCCACGGTAAGGGGACCGGTAGGGGATATGAAGGATGGGCGCCATATGTTGTCTGGTGAAGGCGGGGCTGCCTCTTCACCACGGTTCAAGTCAAAACGGCGATCGGAAGGGCCAGACATTTTCTGAAAGTGTTGAGAAAGAAGAGATCAGACAGATTAAGATTTCGGAAGTGCAAGAATGGAGTGTTTACAGGAGGGAGCTCAAGTGTGTTGTGGAACAAAATTAGCGCCTCTATAAAAAGAAGAAATCGGAGAGGCGCTCCTCAGAGAAGCGTCCTTTCGCAAATCGAAGAGTCGGGGCTCCTTTCTCAAAAGCCGGATTCTTTTCTCAAAAGAGGCGTTTCAATTCTTAAAGGCTGGGCTTGCTCAGAAACCACGAGCCGAACCCCGGATTTCAAAAGATCAATTTGTCCAGACGTGTCGTCACTTGTCACACGCAAATTGCTTTGCGAAATTCTCGGGCAGTTTGTCGAAGCACCAATTCAGAAATCGAAGAGGGAAATTCAACAGTCAAAGACACGCTAGCTTTCTCAAAAGCTGGGCTTCAACCCACGGGCAAATCTTCTTTTCCAGATTTATCCGCACGTGTCACATGCTACCTCTACAATCGACGATGCTCAGAGCTCGAAGCGCCGATTCCAGATATCAATGAGGAATCTGCTTTGCGGAAATTACGGGCAGCTTTGTCAGAAAGCGCGTAATTTGTACTATTCATCCATTCACCGGCTGCCGACAATGAGTGAAAGAATAGTTCCGGTTGTGAAGAAAAGCCCTATAAGTATCTACCTTCGCCTTCCACAGCAAAGGCACACCCTCTCAGCACTTCTTCATCTCTCTGAAATGGCTTTCCAACAAACCCTCTCGAGTCACACTGTATTCCTCATTCCCTGGGATACCCCTGCAAACAACCCATCCAGAGCAAAAGTATTTCATATCATAAAGGTTGAAAGCAAGAGTATCTCATATCATGCATTCTCCATGTCCTTTTCCTTGTCTTTGTTCTAACCTGCAGGACATGGAGAAATTGCTCTCGAGTACTCGTCTTCCACTGCTGATGTACTTCCAAAGAAGCTGCCACATCTACCTGAATAACAGATAAGGCAAGCGAAAATGATACCAACAGCATGTGGAGACAACGTACAGAAGAAACAAGTAGAGAAGAATGCAGCTTGCACAATCATCCCAGCGGAAGGAGTCCGAGCTGAGGAATTAGAGAAGCTGCCACATCTGCTTGGAGAACAAATAAGGAACTGCAACATCACCAAAGAGCAAAGCTTCGCCTTACAATATCATCAAATCATCACTTGCAAGTAAAAAGCTAAGTGTCACCCTGTTCAAGAGGAAAGCTGTGGAAAGTCAACAAGCACGACCAATGATTACTTATTAGTTCTTTTCATTGTCTTTTATCGTGATTTTCAATTTTTCGTTTGCAATTTTTTTTATTTATTTTTTATTATTATTTTATTTTCTTGCGTTACTTAACTGAATTATTTCTTTTCTTTGCAGGAACTTTTGGTTATTTCCACCCTTGAAGTTGATTGCAGAATTTTATCTTGGGGGTCATCGCTTGATTTTACTGCAAATTAGGGAAGTTTTCAGTCCAATTGCTTTATTTTGTTTCTTATTATTTATTTATTTTATTTTATTTGCGTTATAGTGTTTTTTGACATTGGGGACAATGTCAAGTTTAAGTGTGGGGGTAGAAATCTCTAGAATTTCATTTGTTTCTGTGTTGTTGTTTTTTGTTTTCTTTAAAAATAAAAAATTAAAAAAAAAATCGGAAAATTTAAAAAAATCCAAAAATATTGTCTTGTTTCCCTTATTGTTTTGAATTAGATTTTTGCTAGTTTCCCGATCCAATGATATAATTGGATCAAATTCGAACCATGATCATCAAGAACTTAGTTAACATGTGTTTTTGTGAAATTCCTTAATTCTCTTGTTAGTTTTGTACATGTTTGACCATCTTTGAAAAACCAAATGCACATAGCCTTGTTAATGTGAAACTAAAGTATGACTTAAAGCTTCATATGTGAATTTAGTGACCATATACATCCTATGTGAGTTTTTGAGCCTATTGAAAGTGTGTGCATTTTTCATACACTCCTATTTTTTTATGTGTGATGAACTTATGTGAGATACATCTCTAGAACTTGCGTAACGATCTTTCGAAATGTTTGTCATTGATTGCATGAATTTGGAAATGATAGAGGCATTAGGTTTACCACTATGGCCCAAATAACCATGTTTCCCAAAGAAAAATGATATCATTAGATTGCCAATTTGAGCCGTGTATGTTGAGCCTTTTATTTCTTATCACCAGATATGTCTACCCTTATACCTGAAACATTTTTCCTTACCCTTTCCAAGCGAGCAATGCGAGATTGTCTTATGAGAAATGTTTGTGAAGTACTTTGAAGGTGTTTGGCAAAAGAATAAGTGTGGGGGTATTTCATGTTTGTATTTAAAAAATAAAAAATAAAAATAAAAAAAAAAGAAAAAAAAAAAGAAAAGAAAAAGAAGGATTGTATACAAAGAAAATAAAAAGTTTTTAAAGTTTCAGTTTAAGGGTGTGGTTGGAGGTGCTAAAAGAATCGTTGGAAAGGTTGAGTTCTTATAAATCTAAAGAAAAGAATTGCTTGCAATGTAGCTTGGAACTTGTGTTTACCTATTCTTTCATTTCAATAACCCTCTCCCTAAACCTCATTACATCCAATAAAAGTCCTCTTGATTTAAGTTTTGCAATTATGACTGTGGAGAAGTGATCTTTATGCAAGCTTATGGTAGAAATTTCACATTTGATTCTTTGAGCGAAACACATTAAAACT